TATTAAATTTTTATTTTTCTATATTTTGACTTTTAATTTGTCAAAAAATTATTGTTGTCAAAATAGATTGTATAGGCTAATTATAGAAATATTTTTTTATATTTTGATACACACACATACAATATATATATATATATACTTGAGATGGTAGAAAAAAATGATATTCTAGCACCTTTACTTTTAATTAGCTGTTCAGTAAATATACAAAAACACTTTTTTTTGTTTTTCTTTGGATCATAGCACCGAGTAAACAAAGAACTAAAAATAAATATGTCCTATTAATAAGATTAATTAACATATGGACAAAAATATCTATTATGTAAAAGTACATATACAAAAAAAAAGGAAATACTATGTTTATGATATTTATGATTAATGCTAAATATATGTTAGAAATACTTTAAATACAATCTATTATTTATTTATTTGTGAAATTATTAATAACATTTTTATAAAGCTTATATATATATATATTTAAAACTTATCAATATTGAATATTTTGATAGAAATATTTTTATATAATTTTTGTAATAACAAATAATGTGTGTGAACTATTGTTTTTCAATAATGTTTTATTGACAAATGTATTGACTATTGTTACATTGACTTTTTTATAGAGTAGTGAACAGACTGATGGACATCAAGATTCAGAATGTGACATTTATGAAAGTGATTCGGATGCCGAATCGCAGGAAGGTGGTGAACAACGTGAAAGCGGAGATGGTCAAGAGGAAGAGAAACCGCAAAAGAAATTAGACGACGACGAGGACAGACGTAATCCGCAGTATATTCCGAAACGAGGAACATTTTACGAGCACGATGATCGTACAACTGATGAAGTAACTGATAATAACGCAGAAACACAAACAAGTGCAAAAGAAACTAAGGAGAAGAAGGTATGGAAGGATAAGGAAGATAGGTGGGACCACGATCGATATAATGATGAAGAACAAGCTCCAAAAAGACCCGAAGAATTGATAGCAACTTATGGTTATGATATTAGAAATGAAGAAGGACCACCTAGAGCTAGAAGGAGAAGAAGATATGGGTGAGTTTATTAGTATATATAGCATACTATATTTTTTTATATATGTTAATAGTAATTTTCTTATGTTACAAATTACTAATTATGTATATTTTTAGTCGTGGGCCTAACAAATATACAAGGAATTGGGAAGATGAAGATGCTTATGGGAAAACTACTACTCCTGGTAGAGGAAACAACAGACGCTTCCAAAAAAATAGTGAAGATTTTCCTGCTCTTGGTAATAGTAAGGTAAATGTAACAAAATATATATGATGTTATTTATTACAAAATTAATTTCTATAAATTCTATTAAATATTATATTTTGTTTTTTAAAATTAATATAGAACACTTCAAGTAAAGTAGAGGAGCCTGTAATTTCATCAGCTTGGTACAGTAGCAAGAACAAAACACAAAATAAAACACAAAATTTTCCGCCACTTCAATCTCAGCAGGATAACACAAAGACTAAGCCTACTACTGTCTCTAATACATTCATGTATGTATATATAATGGTTTTTCTATATTATATTTACAAAGCAAATCTTATCGACGAAACTTTATATTAAAAATTGTTACAGAAATGAAAATAAGGCTTCAGACGAATCTACCAATACATCTTGGAAAAAGGATGGCAAGCATATTGTTCAAAATCAAAATACAAATGGAAGCGCAGGATCTGGTGGTGATGCAGAAAAATCAGCTAATATCAAAACATCACCAAGGGAGAGTAACAAGAGGAATCCCCCAGAGTCTGTAAGCTTGGCCGCGAGTAGGACGCGTGGAAGGGGTTTCAAGTCCAATGCTAATAACAACATGGTCACTAACAGAATAGTTGAGAATAAATCGAAGGGACGTGGCCCTGGTTCAGTTACAATCGAGAATAGACGGAACAATACTGCGCAGCATAATGACGAGCACCAGCTTGTTCATGATATGAAACAAGTCAATATTAATGATGATAGTCAATATCATCAGCCTGTACGACATAATAGTAAGTTTTTATTAAGTATAGCGTTTTTAAAGAAAATTAAGGAATGTAAGAAGTATATTTATTGAATATTTTTTTATGATTAATAATAAGATTTGCATAAATATTGTTTTAAGTTGAAAAAGTTAAAATCTTATAAAATTAACAATTTTTTATCAATTAAAAATATGCGGTATGTTGGTAATATTTTCTTAATTATATTTTTTGGTATTTTTCTTTTTAATATTTTATTCTAAATATTTGGTGATTAAGATGTAAAAACAAGAAATTAATCTTTTTTCTCATTCTCAACAAAGATGTTATATTATTTTATATTAGTTTTTAGCTTAAATTTTTAATTAGATAATTGCAGTGTTTTTAGATTAATCTTTATCTTTATCTTCTAATTTGTGTAGAAGGCTTTTTTGCATCCTCCAATCAACATAGATCAAACACAGTACCACCTAGAATGCAACAACAGCAACAGTCACATCAGCAACAAACGCATGCGCAACAACAAACAATACAGCAACAAGATAGTTCTGGAAGCAGACCTAAACGATACTCCAGTCTTCGTCAACGACCTACTATTTCAGAAACTTCCACGCAACAAAATTATCCATCTCAACACGCTCAACATGGGTATTTTCCACCTCAAGGTAATAATACATATTGATATATCTTATTTTAAATTGCATTTAAATATACTAAGCCGATTATAATAATATATTTTACATGTCTTTAATACAATATATTTAACATGAATATGTCACTTTTGCATATCTAGCTGGAAATTCAAGAGCTGTTTTAGAATCTCAAGGTAAGAAAGAAAAGAATACATATACAGAGTTATTCTAATATATATACATATATCTTCAAACAAATGTTTTTATCTCTAAAGCTTTTAATGTTATTTTTTTGAAAAAATTATAAAAACCGATTTAAAAACCTCAATATATTAGAAAAGGATATAGAAATGGAAATTATTAGCTCATACTTAAAACTTGTTAATGGCAATAATAGCATATACCGAATTCTCATTACATACGAATTTCTTGATTAATTAAAAATAAATTAAAAATATAATCATTTTTATTCATTTCATAAAACATTTCATCCGATTCAATTAATTTGTCACCTTTTATTGTTTCAGGTTATCCACAAGGTCATTTCGAACAGCCTTCTCCAGCCACAGCACCCATAACAGGACAACCTGTTATTTCTTTACCACCCGGTGGACAACCTGCTAGTTACGCGCCGCCGGCATTTTTAGTACCACCACCACAATTCATACCTCCTCAAACGGCGCCTCCTAGTATAATTAATTATGTTCCTGGTCCGAATGGACCAACATTTTCACCAAACTTTCAAGGTTATCAGGGATATAATCCTTCGGTACAGGTGAGAACAATAAATTTATTTAAACATAAGACGAAACAAACAGTTTGCAAAAGAAAGAGAGGAATATAATGCACTTTGTATGCTTGCAGCCTCAAGGGCCACCGCCACCACAAGAATTGTTCCAACCACAAGGGTGTACTTATTACAGTCCAGCGCAACAACAGCAGCAGCAACAACAAGCAGCTCTTATGCGGCGACCGAAAGCGGCGATACCCATTCTTCCACCGCCTGATAATCAGCAAAGCGGAAGAGGAAGAGGTAGAAGCACTCAGCAGTATCAGAATAATCAATCGGGTAGTAATACACAACAGATTGAACAACATGAAATCAAGAGTGGTAACGCGGTGGAAAGTGACGAAAAACCAATGCCGGGACAATTCGACAGTGCACAAGTCGAGCAGTCATACACTCCGGATCAAGAGTCTCAAGAGAATCAAATTTCGGACATGGTCAGAACAGTGAATGACGCGGATGAGAAAGTAGAAATAAATACCAACGTCGATACTCGTATCATTGTTGACGCGCTTGTTCAAAAGGATAACTTGGAGGATAACATCAGTGTCAAAGAACTGTTGGAAACAACTTCTAATGAAAAAAATACGATTGCAGACAGTCCAACGACGTTGGCTGTCGTTGAGACTGAACGCGAATTAGGTAATATTGAATCCGCGATTCCCGAGAGTACTATTGTGGAAAAAGCTGCAGCTTAAAAAAAGGTAATAATAATTATTATTTGCGCTTCGCATTCACATACACAGCGATCGCGTTCCTCTTGTCGCAAGTTGGATAGATGGATGTCGCTCTGCGGACTATTCACAATGCGATTGGGGAACGTTGCTTCTTATTAACTTATGGAAACAATAATCCATATTTGTATTAATAATAAATATTCAAATAGCAGTCTTATAATGCTGATGTTATTGCTTGGTATATAAAATAACGATGATTTTTTCGTATGCAAAATCTATCTATATACCTGGTCATTATTTAGCAAAAGACATTATCATGTAATATACTCGGCAGAGTCGGCAGCTGCGCGGGCCATGTGACTGTGACTTGATATATATAAAACTGATAATTCTATATATACATACATATATATATATATACATATATATATACATATATATATATATATATATATATATATACAATGTTACGACTATGTGATACACTTTTTCAATGTTATGACTACCTACAGTGCAGAAATGTTTGTAGTTATAATATTAATGAAATACATTTCATTGAACAACATATAAGTTGTGCATCTCTTTGTACATGTAGAGAAATAATATTTTGTATGCAATCTGGGGATAATACCAATATTTAATTTAACAGATATGTTTGTTGTTTTCATCTCTGTCTTCTTTACATATTTCTACACTTTTTTTTTTTTCTTTTCTTTCTCTGACAGACGAAAAGCTGAAAAAATATTTATTTTAGAAAATGTGTAAAGAAAACAGCGGAAAAAAATAGATATAATATCTACTTATCGCTTTTTCTTTCTTTTATATTATAATGATTCTTTCTTTATGATATTTTATTTACATATTTTGAGTTTTACAAAGTGGCTATTGTCATAAATAATATATATACAAATTTCCTTTTTTTTTTTATGATATTTAAGCTACGAATCTAAGGTCTGAATTGAATATAATAGAGAACTTCATCAATTAAATAAAATAATTAAACTTTTACACATTTTAAAAACGGTGAAAGTGCACTAAGAAAGAAATAATTTATTTATTTTTTTTTTTTAACTCGCCACAATTATATTTAGGAGTAACGGCAAAGTTGTACAAAATTGTAAGAAACAAAATTCTATAAAAGAATTTTCAATAAGAAATTTATATATGATGAAAAACTTGCACTTTTGCGCAATAAGCTGTAAAACTAAATGAAAATGAGTCAAGAAAGGACACGTAATTTGTTCTAGCATATTGTACAGTTTATATAACTAGTACCGTATGTGTAATAACTTTATAATAACTTTAAGAAGAATTACACACACTTTATTAAACTTTGTAGATATATTCTGATATGTCCAAATGTATCATAGAAAATAAATATTACAAATAATACACAAAACGAAACATTGAATTTTTTAAATTATACCAAATAGATAGAACATAACGCTTTATATTTACAAAGTAGCATTTGTTTGTTTAAATTTAATTATGTGTTAAAGTCTGCATTTTTTAATTGTGATGTATTGTAAACTATTTTATCTTTTAACCTAAGTTTGACTTGTATAGTTTGCTGTACGCTGTATTAATTAACAGTCCGCTGTCTGCGCGCGCAGCGGCAACTACTTCGATGATTGGTTGACGAGTGCGACACTAGCGCTTACGGAAAATCTCGTGGGACTACGGGTCAGGTGGAGAGGGAATATGGCGTTGGACATTGGTTGCGTTCGGTTCGCACGTTTACGCGCTAAAAGCGGCGTTCTATCTTTGTTATTTACTAAAAATTGAACAAAGATAGAGCACGTTCACAATGTTAAAAGTGTGCTTCCCGAACGCATCTATTGTAAAAGACGGACGTGGAAATACAGAGATGTTGCTAAACACAAAGAACGTGTTCGTGTCAATTGATGTTGCAATAAACATAAAAGCCCGCCATTCCCCCATTAGGGTTTTACAATGTATTGTCATTTACATCTACAGTACAATAAAGTAGAATGTTTAAAGCAGTGAATTCAACGATACTGCGCAAATTCATATAATTGCTTATTCATTTTAATTCAGCAAAACTATAAGAAAAGCCATTTTTGAACGAGAGACGTACTTTTATATATATATATAACAATAGTACATAGGAATAATTTGAACTATATTTCATCGTTGTACAAAGCATCCCAAAACCACCAAATGTTCTTTTAATATTATTTTATAATATTAAAAACGTTTATTTTTATCTCTGCTGAAACTAGTATCGATTTTAAAATATTTACATGGAAAAGAACATTGTGTATTTTGGGGTACGAGATGCAGAAACAGAAATGATATTTATTCCTGTTTCTCACTCTGTGGTATATTGATTATAGCACTAAGAGGTATTACCTCGGTACTTTGTTGAACATTATTATTATTGGACAGCGTATGAACTGATCTCGTGTATGTTCGAGATCTCTGTTTAAGAGGATTCGAGATGTCCGTATTATATTCACGTTTATGGATGCAGGTTTTGTTGTGGAAACGTCGAAAATTACGCTTGAACTCCTTGCGAAATTTTCCTGCAACAAACATATATACGTTGTGTAATCTTTATATATCCAGTTATACTTTATACGAAACGAATATTTATTGCTACATAGCATAAAGTGTAATAAAAGACGCAGGAAAAGATATAAAAATTATACATGAAGCATATGTATATCCAAAAGCAAAAGACTAGAAAAAGTCTATAATTTGTAAGTTTTTATTTTAAATATGAATTTATATCTAATGCTAAATAGATATTGTGGGATATTTGTAGCATAAGGTATAAAAAATTGCACAAGTAATAAAAAAATATAAAATGTGAAACAGAACACATGTAAAAAAGGAGAACGATAAAAGAGTTAGAGAGATTCTATAATCTCGCAGATAAAACACAGATATTTTTGGTATATACTTATGTATTATTTAGATTTCAATGTTTTTTAAAGATATAATTTAATTAATTCCATCAACACAGAAAAACACACTATAAAACGATTAGAAAAAGGGATAGAAAAATTCAAAGAGCTTTTAAAGCAATTCCTAACTTCGAAGATTAGGCATATTTAACTTTGCATTGTTTATGAAATATTTCGTCGAATGTTCAAAGTATTTTATGTGATTTATATTTTAATACAATTTTTAAAAAGTAAATAAGCAAATTTTGAATTTTATTCCGCGTTTCGATATTTCGATATTATTTTAATATTGCAAATTACGTTAAAAATGAAAGTTGCTGCAATATATATTATATTAATTATATAATCTCTATTTTTAAAAGAGAGGAATATATCTAATATCTATTAAAGTATTTTGAATTTCGCTCCTACATTAAATGACTACTGTGATTGGCCCGATTTCGCTACTTCTAAACTCGTAATTGCACGGATCTAACACGACCGTGATTGGTTCGCCGTTCTAGTACTTCGAGAATCGCTCTCGAAAATTTCAAATCACAGTAAAGTATGTCGTCAACATGTTGCAGATCCGCGTTCGAATCGCTCCGCATTTTTTCGCGATCGTTGCTATCTAAATCTCGCGGAGGAAGAAATCGGAAGCGCCATATAAAGTGCTCGTCGTAATGTAAACGCCGTACACAGCAGCTATTATAACGTCAATATCGCGATTTCAGTATCGGTTGTCTCGTAGCCGGGGAATCGATCGAGATCCTTCTCGTTGCGTATCTCATTCAAATGCATGGCAAGTGCAATCGATGAACGATCGTCATTAGGTATGCCATTCCGTAATTACTTGCATTTATTGCATCTTTTTGAAACAATCCATATCTATTTACATCATTCTCTCTGTATTTTTTCTAAAGGTTAGTCATTTATTGTGCGATTCAGTAATTTTCCCCTCTAGCGGCAGAAACGTAAAAAGTTTCACCATTACATTTTCGTTTCTAGGGAAAAATTACGTGAACGTAGGAAATGCAACTAAAGCCAAGATGGCAGCATCGATTGTTTTGATACTATCGATACAAGTGATATTGCGATTCTCGAAAGTTCGTATCGCCGTGAATTGCGGAAGATCGTCGTCAACGGATCGCGGAATCGCGTTCGAATCGCTCCGTATTTTTCGCGATTCTTATTATCTAAAGTGAATTTCGCGCGCGAGGAATTATCGCAAGTGTGCTCGTTTTAACGTTAATGTCGTGTACAACCGCTGTTACACGACATTATATCCGTTATTCATGTCTATATCCGGGCGGTTAATTATATCATCCTTGTATCCTCGTTGATCGTGAAAAGTGCGATTGATGAACGATCATCGCCAGGTACGCCGTTCTATAATTAGATATATTTATTACATTTATTTGCAATAATTTATATTTCAATTATTTCTAATATTAAAATATCTCGAATCGTGTATTTCTGCATTAAATAGCAGCTCTGTTCGTTTAATATATATATACAATAATTTTAAAAATGCAAGGAAATTGTAGCTAAAAAACGAAGCTAGTAGCTGCGATCATTTTGATATTATCAGTAAGCGATATCGCGAGTTTCAAATATAGATTTTGAATCACGGAATTGCATCCATATCACTTTGTATTCTCGATTGCTTTTTTCTAAAAACTAATCTCGCGCTCGCAAAAAATTATCGCGAACGTCTCTCATAAAATATCGAACGTTTATCGCGTAACGTAATGAATATCACGTATATAACTGCTATTACACAAAATATTGTGATTTCAGCATTAACGATCTCACTTTTGTCTGCCCGGATTCGAAAGAAAACAATCCTCTTCGCATAGCCCACCCACAGTCGTTATTTTTCTCATCCAAGTGCAGCGAAAATGAGATTGGCGCGCGATCATCGCAGGTATTCATATGTTCGCCAGGTATTTACGTGTCAGGTATGTCGATGTTCTACAATCAGACTCGTTGATAAATAATATAAAAGAATAAAGTTGGATGCACACTATACATAATGCCATCGTTACGTTAACGTAACTTGAAATATTTTTATATGGATTTTAAATGGAGTAATATGTACTGACCGTCACCGACATTTAAAACCTACACTGAGAAAAAAAAGTTGTTAACTTGACTAAATGCGTTCAACTGATTATCATTTTTTTAATTGAAATATTTAAGTACTTAAGTCAAATACGTCATGTTAGATTTAATATGTCATATTTAATTTAAATACTTAAATATTTCAATTAAAGAAATAATAATTAGTTGAACGCATTTAGTCAAGTTAACAACTTTTTTTTCTCAGTGTATGTGAAAATGTTTGACGTTATATTGACATGACGGTGATTTTACGCAAAGTGTGATTGCAGCTTAAATCTTTGCATTTATACGGCTTCATATCTGAGAATGATACTCTATTAATAATATTTCATGATCATTTTAATTAATATGATGCATTAATAAGTAAATTTGTGTATTGTATAGCTAATAAGTCTAAACCAATTTTTACGGTCTTACGAGTCTAAAATTCTTTAATTATCTTTGAACCTATTACCTATAAATTTTCTAATAGAGAGACTTTCATAATAATATAATACTTTATCCGAGTCTAATGTAATAGGAGGCAGGGGGAGGGCAATAACTATAGCTTACCCTAAGGTACACGATCGATTTAACGAGTATCGATATGCGAATCCGTTCTTATTCCGACGTCGAATGCCGTCTCGGCCACGATGCTTGTTCGTACAGGTGCGTCAAGGTGTATTTTTGTCGGTTTCGTTACTCGTTTCGCCGCATGTCAAAACGATTGATTTCGCAAGCTCGTATGGCATCTCCTCGTGTATTCATCTCCGTACGGTAACAGATGCCGATGGGCCGCCGACTGCGTAATCATCTGTTTGCTAGGCGAGCCGCACTTTTGAAAACTACAACGGAACTCTTGCCGGAACTTACCTGCAAAGTAGAGCACCGAATAATTCCCCATAACTAGATTTGGCGAGTTCATTAGTAGCCGGCGTATGCGTCTGCGACCTTATTTAAGTTCCGTCTTACGTTTAATCTTCATAAAACGCCGTCTGAGACCCATTAAATCTGCTTTTGCTCGGAATATTCTCCTTATCTATTATTCTTTAATCTTCAATGCAATCCCAATTTTGTAACCAAAATTTGTAAATTAACTAAAATTTAATGACATCATATATATACATATATACATATGTATATATACATATATTCTCGCGAAACTACATAGAGATTTAATATGGATCTATGCATGTAATATATATAACTTGAGGATTAAAATTTATAATCTGTGTAGATACTTGCTGAAAGGACAAGTATTACATTTATGTAAAATTAAATCTAATCTTAATGAAGAAACATCTGACCATTTATAATATACACATATATAAAAAAAGTAATATTTTATGAAGAAATTCATGGAAACATTCATGTCTTTTTTCCATCCCTTTTTGCGCGTTTTCTCAGTAGAAGATGATAGACGAGAAATTCTTTTAATTATGATTAACAAAATCTTAATTGATTAAATTGTATAGTTTATATGTTCAATACAGCATTTATAGAAAACTTACTTATTTTGTTCGTTATGTATCGCGCGAGTTTGTCTAGAAAAGCATCGCGATCTTTTTACGAAGCGGAAAAAATGAATTGAGATTTTTGACAACTGCTGTCGCGAGAGCTAATGTCGCGTGAAAAATAGACCAGTTTTACATGGCGAAAAGCAGCAACCGACACAACGACTCGTGCGAGCATTGCCTTACCACTGACGTGTCATGCATTTTAATACAAGTCACTTTATACGTGCGGTAATTTTATGTAACACCGGGAAATATTACCATATATTTATGTATTCTATACAAGATATATCTCAGAATAAATTTGCCGTAAATGGAATCAATTTTTTTATCGACGATATTTGAGATTAGTTTCAGATCATGCATTAAAAACGCTTAAAAGCATCGTACTAATACGCGCGAGTTAATCTTACCGCTCATAAAGTTGTAAATGACTGGATTCACTGCACTGTTGAAATAGCAAAGCCAATGGGCGATTAGACTAAAGGCAATGGTCCATTGATTCGACGGTAAAGCCATGGTACACCTAAAACAATAAATTGTAATATGTCAATTATATAAAGCGAATTAGAATAAGCCGATCAGAAAATGCTTATTTTTGCAGAAAACACTGTCGTATACCTATATAAAAAGAATTATTAACTTAAATTAAAGTAACTTATCTAAATTCTCTTATTAAATTCTTTTTACTTTTGATTTCTCCTACCACTTACGAAAATAAAAATAATTTATCTTATCTATTTGGTCTCCATTTTTTCTTATATAGAAAGTCCCAGACTCTTAGCGGGCTATCTTTTATATACGTATCTCTCAATGGATTCTTTGATTAATTTAAAATCAATATTTCCTCAACAAAGAATTGGGGGGCTATATTTTTAAATTATAAACAATTAATAATAAAGTGCTAAACTTTTGGGAATTTAGCTTATTTCTTATTAAATGTATGAATTTTATTTTATGTAGACTTTATTTTAATATATTTGTAACTTGAAAATAATAAAGATATATAATGTCGAAGATTGAAACAAATGTGAATGCGGCAAAAGATAAAATCTTTCTATAAAGTAGCCTTTAAACTGGTAAAAAATTTATGGATAAAAAATGCACAGATCTGGGAGAATTTGTATATAAATTATCAAGTGATAGAAGTATAAAGAGAATATCGGATGCAGTAGAAATAAAAATAATTTACGTCATATCGGAAAAATATTTTTTGCTTTGAAACAGCTACGTTTCCGAGAAATTGAAAATACTATATATTCTTGGTTGTCAGTATACATATTTCGTATTTACGCATTTACGCATTTTTTTATAAAAATTCTTTTTATTTACGAGATACAAACAGCGTAAGATTTGAAACAAAACATTTTTAAAATTTTACAAGATTAACGATTGTGATTATCTTCTACTTTATAATTTTTTATAATAATATGTATTTTTTTAAACTCATTCTTAATTTAATATTATTTTATCAAGTTTAATAGAATTTGTATTGATAAAAAATAACACGTATTGCACTTAAAACCTACGGTCATTTCACACATTAAAATAATTTTGATATAATGAAAGCTCTACTTTATCTATTGATATAAATTTTAATATCGAATAGTCGACATTTCGCATTAATAAATATTTCAATGTAATATCTACATAAGCTATGCATTAATTCTTGTGCAACATACTGACGCGTTACTCTATACACACGAGAAAATACGCAAAATATTGCAGATATCATGAAACGTACCTTAAAATAGAGAGCAAATGTACTGGGAAGAAACATATTGCAAATGTAATAACTATGGCGACTAACATCTTTGCCGCCTTCCGTCGAGATCTCAATTGTCCCTCTGGATTTCCACTTCTGGACAATGGAATTTCAGTTGAATGACATATTCTAGTGGATACTGTAGAATTTAATAAACAATGATCAGTTTTTAATTAATCATTATATCTTTCAAACAATATACATTAGAAAGATCATTTTTTCTTTGAAATGATTTTTTAGTCTCAATGAAAAATATTATATTCGAATTGCATTTATCTTTCGGCAAAGCTCAGCGTAAAAATTTTAATGGATTAGAAACAAAATAGAATGTATTATCTTTAACATTAATGTTAGCATAAAAATTTATAAAATTTGCTTATTTTTAAAATGATGGGTTTTTTTTTCAATTTTGAGGAGTTTATCGTGAAATTAATAATTTATATTTTCTCACTGAAAATAAAAGGGTTTTTAGAAAAAGTTAATAATTACAATATTTTTAGAATTAAGAATTATACGAATTTATATATTCTAAAATAAAAAAAAATTGATAGGTACATATGTTTCGCCAAAGTTAAACATAAAATATTACAATTATTCTGTTTGATTAATTTGCGAGAAATTAAACTTTTTTAAAAATTTATTTTGTCAATTTTAAACTTTTCTTATTAGTTACGCTATGTTCTATTTTAAGCTGTTTTTTTTGCATTTTATGCAAAAAAATTTTTTATTGTATATATTATATTATATATTCATTGTGAAATATGTATATATAGTATAATTTCGACAATTTCTCTCGTTTATATATAGAATTACTACACTTATATTGTATTTCAAAACGTTGGAAATTATATTACATTTCATAATAAGTGGCTTACATCATAATCAGAATATAATTTCAATTTCAAAGGAACTATTTTTATCATCATATGTACTTAGCTTGAAGTACTCGAGTTATTTAACTAGTTTTAAGTACTAACTAACAAACATGTACTAAGATCATAGATGATCTGACAAAGACACTGGTTATATGTGTCATTTACGTATTATATGCATGTATAATCGCGTAAAACTCTGTCTATATATCTTTTAATGTATTATATTGAATATACATGTAAAAAAATTATAAAAGTGTACACAGCAATTATATTGTGTATATAT